TGGATTGTGTGGTTAGGTGTAGTATCGAGCTTTGACGATTTGTCTGAGGACTTTTGATTGGAACGATTGGATGCGCTGGATGTTGGATGGTCCGAAGTGGTCGCAGTAAAGTATTGTATAAGGATAGTTTGGAGTAGATGGCCACGACGGGTTTCGGTGCAAGAAGTCTTCGTATTTGTCCAAATCTTCTGTTAGGTTTTTGCCTCTTAAATCTTGTGCGAGGATTCCAAGTCTGTCCAAGTATGTCTGTTGTCTACGTTATACATAGCCCTAAGATTTAACTTGTAAGGCAGTCGGTATCTCTTTGTTGTTGATGTACAGTGCATAATGGAAGACGGTTTTTTCCATGTACGCTGGGTACATTTTTCTCATTTAGTCTTGTCCTCCACTTTTTGCGCCAGTATCAAGGTGTTCTTGGATGTTGGAGCTAGGATCGGATTCGAGTTAGGGGACAAAATTGCAGTATATCTGCGTAAATGGTGATGATGTTAGGTGTATACATAGGTCAACAGTATAAATGATACAAAAGAATAGAACCAAAAATGCTTCCTTGTAGGACGCTAGCTTGTATATGTCTGACTTCCGAAAACTCGTTGTCGCACCTCACTCTGAAAGAGCGGTCAGTTAGATATGATTTCAGGCTGATGTAATAAGGAGAGGGTAGGAAGAGTTTAAGTTTATAAAGCATGCCCGGGTGCCAGACCCTATCAAAAGCCTGTGCTACGTTTATTTATTCCCTAGAGCGGAGAAGACAGTGTCGACAACTCGTTGGATCGTGCAATGAAGAGGACGGAAGCTGGATCGGTGAGAAGGAATGGTTTTATGAGTATTTAGAATTGGTATTAAGCGCATTAAAGGTACCTTTCAAGGATTTAGGACGTTGAAGAGTAGTGGGTATGTAATGTGCGGTTGGGAATTTGTGAATAAATTTGCTTTGTTCATTTAAATTGTAAATTTAATGAAAAGAAAAACAATTTAATATGGTTTTAAGGTTTTACTAAGATGAAAACATTATTTTATGATGGTAAAGGTGATTTTATTTTTTCGTTGTTTTACTTCTTTTTGTGTTATATAGTAATTACAAAAGTATGATCAACTTGCAACCAGCAAAGGGCATAAATTGCTTATAGAGTCTGCATTTTCTATGGTTTGTACAAAAAGTAGTGTCAATCCAAAATTATTCTCGTATAAAAAGTGTGAAGAAACTGAGTTATAAAACTATAAGTTTATTTTTACCGTTAGAACCTGAAAGATGTAATAACATGAAGGGGTAAAATTTATAAATTGCAATTTTTCCTTGGCGTTTCTTTCAGTTGAAATTTATTATACGTACGCTTCTGAACTCTAAACACATTCCTGAGATTCTTCAGAAGGCAAATATTTGTGCTTTTTAAAGACAAGGACGTGCCGCGCGCACTTTCTAACCGATGATAACACAAATTCGACATTTTATCAAAAAAGGAAGAAAAATAGGAAAAATCTGTAACTCCTTCTTAGTTTAAGATTAATATTTTAACCGGTCGTATAAAATTTTTCAACGGATTTATTTATTATCTTATTTAAACAGATCAAACGGAAATGATCAATCAATAGAATTTTATTTTATTTTATATACAGCTCAATGATCTCTTCACGGTATACAGTGTGATGAAGCGTTATTAGGAAGTATGGTGTATTAATATTAAGAAAAGAACAAAAAAAGTACTAAAAATATAAATACATAACCAGTGGAATAATTTGGGAGAGAGGGGGAGAGAGAGTGAGAGAGATATATATTAAGTAAGTGAGTGAGTGTTTAAGTGAGTAAGTGAGAGAAAGAATGAGTGGGAGTCCGTGAGTTAGGGATAAAGTGTGAGTAAGTGAGTAAGAGAGAGTGAGTGGGAAAGTGCGTGAGTTAGAGATAGAGAGTAAAATAGTGAGTGATTGAGTGAGAGGGAGAAAAGAAAAAGTGTTAGAGATAGTTGAGAGAATGAGAGAGTAAGTGAGAGAGTGAATGAGGTTGCGAGAGATGAGAGACAGAGATTAGGTGAGTTAGAGAGAAAGAGAGAGAATGAAAAGGAGAGGGGGAGAGAAAGAAAAAGAGAGGATAGATAGATACATAAATAGATAAAGAGAGAGAGAGCGAAAGAAAGAAAGAAAGAGAAAGAAAGAGAAAGAGAGAGAGAGAGAGAGAGAGAGAGAGTGAGAGAGAGGAGGACAAAGAGAGGGAGAGATAGACAAACTACTATTTACCTTACCAATATTCTTTATCCAGCCTTAAAAAAAAAAATAATAATAATAATACGGCATCATAAGGCTAAATCTACTCAAAATATTATGCCTCAAATCTAAAAGGTAGTGAAATTTATTTGACCTTTCAATTTTATACGGATCCAATTTTTTTCGTTCTGTAAAAGACTTTATTATTTTTAATACCATAGAATTTACGTTAATTGGTTTGGATAAAAAACAAAATCTCTAATTTTTATTTCATAATTATTACACTATTTCTATTATATTCTATTTCTACACCTATTCTATATTCTATTTCTACACCTATTCTATATTCTATTTCATTATAGCAATTATTTCATACCACCTAAGTTTTTAATGCTGTAAAGAAAGGGTTAATTTGAAATTAAAAACTGTTAAATCGAAGATAAAAAAAGGGTTAATGTGAAGTTAAAAATGATTAATTTGTAATTAAAAATGATTAATTTGAAATTAAAAAGGGTTATTTTGGAGTTAAAAATGGTTAATTTGAAATTAAAAAGGGTTATTTTGGAGTTAAAAATGGTTAATTTAAAATTAAAAAGGGTTATTTTGGAGTTATAAATGGTTAATTTGAGAAATAAAAAGCTATACAACCCTAACGAGGGATTTAAATTTTTTTCTTTGTCAATTGTAGTAAATTTGATAGGATTTTACATTTAAATACAAAATTATTTATTTTAATTCTTTTTATACCTATTAGCATAAATTCTGTGAAATATTTTGGATCCGTATAGAAGTAAGAGGTCAAATAAATTTCGTTATCATTTAGATTTGATATATAATATTTTGAGTACATTTAGCCTTATGTTGTCACACAATTAGCGGTTGTCACTTTCGTCCTTTTTTTGTAACCTTGTGATTAAGTCTAATGAGTCCTCTCGCTACTCCATTCAAACGAATCGGTCCTCCGGGCTGGATAAGGTAAGGTAAAGAGTAGTTTGTAGAACTTAAAATATTTGGTTGCGATTAATTTATTTACAAACGGTATTTTGAGGTCGTTGTAGAGGGTGGTATTGGAGACATAATAGATTCTGAATACTGAATTTGTTGGATGTTTGTAGGCCACATAGTTTTAGTCCATGTGACCAATTCAGTAGTGCTTTGTACCGTCAGTTTTTTTGTCGACAAGTTAAATTTCCGCCCAAGTAGTTAGTTACGTTTGTATGTGATAAACTCCAAAGTAGCGTACACAGCCCGTTTTGGAGATAGGCTTGGGGAATACTGAGTAAGGGGTTTTGCTTTAGGAGAGAAATGTAACATGGTTGAATTTGTTTTCGTCATCCTCCAAAGTTTGCTCCATTCGGCTATTCTTTGTAAGAAGAAAGCCAAGCTGTGTCGTCTGCAAAGGATGCAAGAAGGGTAGAGATTGTAGTTGGGATGTCTGAGGTGTAGAGGAGATACAGGATAGGTCCGAGCACACTGCCCTGTGCCACTCCCGCTCCGACAGGACAATACTCAGAGTAGTCCGACCCTTGGTGAAATCGGAAGAATCGTCCTGTGAGGTAGGAGAAAGGAGGCTTTAGTTTGTATAGGAGACCCTCATGCCACACAAGGTCGATCTCTTATGACACGTCTAGGAAGGTCCCCATGCAGTTCCCACATTCTTTACTCTTTAAGATGAGGATGTGTGGTCTATAACACAAACAACTGCACCATCTGTAGATTTATGATTCAAGAACATTTTGTTTGAGGAAGTTGTTTTTTTAAATTAATTACACATAATTCCAGAAAGCAAATCCGTTTAAAGCTGAAAGAAAAGGCGCATCGGTGACCGACGGCCAGCTACAACAAGCCTAATTATAAACAAGACGGTATCACCAACGGAAATAACGACTGGGGTCTTCGCTCGTGGGAACATCGCTACCGGTCGGCGGGTTTAACATGCCAAGGAATCCCTGTTTCCACCGCGACTGGACCATAAATTGACCTAGACGGAATCCAACACCCCTAAGTCCCTAACTGAATCAAAACGATAAAGTTGTATTTAGGACAGCTTTATCGTTCAAGCTCTGAAGATCCCCGAGAGCGAGAGTTCATGGCCAGAGACCGGGGATGAATCAGGTTTTAATAAAAGCGATGACCTTTGTTAAAAACTATCTGGCATCGTTGTACCGTTTATCATGAATTCCAAGACCGTTTATCATGGATGTTTTTTAAAAGAAAATAAACAAAATCAAATAGAATAGATCCATAAATGCTGAGACCGTCTCAATACCGCGACCTTTGGAATATTTTCATAGGTTGCTTGTCAACATGTTAGTAGTGATTTAGTAAAACTAAATTTATCATAACAAATTTATCGCCTAGGGTAAACAATATATTATTTTTAAAAAAGAAAATCTTTTTAAAGCTGATATTCATAACACTTCTTTAAGACGTACAACTGAATGGGAAGACAATGGGCGGAACCCAATGAATGAGGGCCGAATGTGTTTTTTAACTCAATAAGCAAGGCATTAAACTAACAAGACAGCTTCAAACGCTATAGAATGTAATAACACATCAACGAAACCTAAAGTAGATACATTAAAAAATATGTTATGAATAAATCTTGAGTTTTTTTATAATAAAACTTCATATAAGAAAAAGATATTTTTAGGCGTGGCGATGTCCTAGTTTCGTTAGGAAATGCAATTATCCCAATAGACCGGCTGTTGATTAAACTGATCCGTACAAAGATCAATGGTGATCATGGAGTTGATGCCCGTGGTATTTTTATTTATTTATTTACTTTTTTTACGACTTACCGAATGGCATGATTGTAAAGTATCAGCGTCTGTCCAACTTGAGATTGAAGAATCCTTATACCCTTCGAGGATGCTTGTGACCGACTGAAAAAGCCGGGGATAGAAAACGGCGGTGCGATGCGGCATAGCGGTGCCCTTCGCCGTCCTCCTTCCATCGACGGGCGCATGCTCCGTCCCCTACTCTCAAGGTGTGTTCATCCGCTCAGAACTGACAACTGACAGTTGACGCTGACAGTCACTACTGTCAATTGGCAGTATTGTCGTCGAACGGAACCTGCAACACGTTAACAAAAACGAAATTTTACGTAAAAGTTCAGCTTTCTTGTTGAACACTAAAATCCGGTTGCAAAATAGAACAGGGGTCATCACCCTTAGTACATATTTAGAAGGACCTTAGCAGTAACCATGGAGCTCAATTTAAAGCGATCTCGAACATTTTAACTTAATTCTAAAACATTTTTGTTTTGTTCATAATGTTCTATACATTTTGAATTATTAGTTCGATTCACGTTAATAAAACTAGTCTAATTGAAGTTGGAAGGAGTACTCGATATTCCACCATCGACCCTCTTGTATTAGACACACATTCACGCTAATAAATGTATAAAAATATTACCCCTGTACCTTTATAAACAACTAGACATAAATTAGCCTAATTGGGAGATCGTTGGATATTTGACATTCCGCCATCAATGTACTATACTACTAAATTCGCTGTACTGTACACACATTCATGCTAATAAATACATCACTTTTAATTTGTTTTATGTGGCATTCTAGATAACATGTGAGGGGGCAGGGTTGTTGGTTCGAGTTGTTGAGCAACCAGATAACAAGGGTCAGTGCACCTAGGCTGTACCAGTCTGAACGGGTATGGCAGGAGTTAGTTTGGGGGGTGGAGTTCTGTTGTCTTTGTGGCCGCGTCCGACGTTTTAGCTGTTGATACACCTCGTAGCCTTTGTAGTTTGCTGGTTGGTTTTTACCGCAGAGAGCGCAGACGGCTGAGGCTCTTTCGGTACTCTTCGCCCTTGTGCATAACACCACACTTGATACATCTCGGAAGGTGATGGCAGTACGTCTTACCATGTCCTTATTAATGACAATGGAAGCATTGTACTATCTCCTCCGAGGAAGTAGCTATTCTACCTTCACTCTCGTGTGGAAAATTGACGTCGCTCCGTATATTTGTTGGGCAAAGGATGTGGGTTCGACATCCACGAAAAACAATGGTAATGGCACACTTTTTGTCCCGTCATTTCCTCTCATTTGAGGAGTTTGAAGAGTAGTTGGAGACGTTGGTAACGTTGAACATCATTTCGTTGAGCTCTTCCTTAATGGCTTTGATTGTTGTTGTGTGATGCAGGTTTCTTACTACGAATCCCAGTGATCTCTCTTCTTTGAGTTGGTACGTGTAGAACTGTGCTTTCGTCTCGGTATTTTTATTTCACTGCTCTGCCTTTAATTACACCCGCAGGAATAACCTAGTCGTTGTCGGACCCCAAAGAACCGCTCTGTTTTATAATAATATAATTTTAAAAAACTGTTTTTTTAATTTTCCTCGTTCAATTATATAAAATCAAATTTATTACGCGATTGTAAATAAAAACAAAGATATTTGTTGCAGTGTAAAAGATTAAATGTGTTCAATTTGACAGTCAATCTGTCAATCTCAGTCAATCAAATATTGTAAAGTTAGTAGAACTTTTATCTCGTTGGTCAAACAGTTTAAACTTTTAATTAAAAACAAAATTGAGCAATCTGTTTGCTTATTTTACCTAGTTTATCTCCCGCCTTGTGGTCTGCAATCAAATGACCGTCTTCTTCTTGAAGCGGGCCCTCAATATCATGTCAGTTGAGTGAACCCAACCCTTGGAAAATAGGATCGAGTACGAAACAACAATTAACTGTTATGAAAAACAAGTTACGCGTTGTTTGTATCTTGCGGAAAATAGGCACTACATTTCCACTAACTACGCACTCAAACCATAAATTATAGGAAATTTTGTTATTCCAAAACAGTTCAACGAGAGATTCAATCTAAATTCATCAGTAAGTACAACTAATACAGGTACAAAAATTGTCATCAACTTCTAAAATTGAATTTACACATTTTATGTAAAGTGTGGTTGAGATGAAAAATTAGCGACACGAGGGGGATTCGAACCCTCTACTTCCGGCTCTATGCCACGGAGAGCTCGTGTTACTAATTTTTTCATTTAAACCACACTTTATATAAAAATTATAAATTCAATTTAAATTATTGGTTAACTGAAACATATGTATTTAAAAAAATGTTTCTTGAACAAATTTTCAGTTCCATACACGAATTTCTTTTTACAACCGATTGCCTCCTGATACTGACTACACTCACAACAGATTCTCTTTCTTAATAGATTTAGTAATTATGGAAACGAGCCGAAGCTATTACGAGCTCGTTATTAAAACAGTGTTATTTGTTCGATGAAAGCGAAGGAAAGCATTCACTGACGGAGAAGAACTTGGACTCTTTGTCGTTTTATGTGTGATCGTGTTGAAAATTTATTAAAATTTAGAGTATGATCTGAGGTGTTTTTCTCTTTAGGCCGAGATGGACGAACCAGCGCCTGTCGACAAAGAAGAAGCAGGCACGGAGCCGAATGGACTTTCACAAGCACAAGAGAAAAAAAGTAAGTAGACAGATCGGTTTTGTCTGTTTGTGTAATTGAGAGTGAAGAACTACAATTTGGGTGTAAAATGAAATGTTAAATTGATCCACACTAAACAAGAAATAGCAAATATCACAACGCCCAACCTGTTCTTTTTATTTATTGATGATCTAAGTAGTGGTGTAGAGGGTAAGGTATTGTAAGCGGGCTTGATGTAATTATGTACTCACCGCTAATACCTGATATATACGTTGCCAGCTATAGGCATCCCAGTTGAGGTACTTAGGCCTGGTATGCACGTTGCCAGCTATAGGCATCCCAGTTCAAGTACTTAGTCCTAATTTATAAGTTGCCCGCTATAGGCATCCCAGTTGAGGTACTTAGGCCTGGTATGCACGTTGCCAGCTATAGGCATCCCAGTTCAAGTACTTAGTCCTAATTTATAAGTTGCCCGCTATAGGCATCCCAGTTGAGGTACTTAGGCCTGGTATGCACGTTGCCAGGTATTGGCATCCCAGGTGAGGTACTTAGTCCTAATTTATTAGTTGCCAGCTATTGGCATGCCAGTTGAGGTATTTAGTCCCGATTTATACGTTGCCAGCTATTGGCATCCCAGTTGAGGTACGTATGCGTGGTATCCAGGTTGCCAGCGATTGGCATGCCAGTTGAAGTGCTTGGCCTGTTTTATACGTTGCCAGCGATTGGCATCTCGATCTTGTTCTGCCTATTCTAGATTTATACTAGGGTGTAAAGAATTCCACCAATTAATTAATTCTTTACACCCTAGTATAAATTTTACATTGGAAATAAATAAAGATGGTGTTTAAACTTTTAAGACTTCAAACTGTTCATATAACAAATAGAAATAGACGTATATAGAAAACCCACAACTACAGACACTATGATATACCAGGAGAGTCTTCTCCCCCATGGACCCAAAAAGCTGCTGAACACATTTGGCTCATAGACGTATGCTGAAACTCCCATTAACACCGCTGCTTATAAAAACAACAAATAAAACCTTGGCTAAAAACAAAGGATTTCAAGAAATATTTATTCATAGGTTGGTAGTAAAAAGGTTTTAAAAAATTAACTTTAAACGAAGCAACAATCGTTTTCAACTACCGCACAAAAAATTAATCGTTTTTTGAAAAGTTTTCGTTGCTTGCCATACATTGGTGAACTATGGGAAAAAGTAGGGAAAATTCCTAAACGAGATGGTTTTAGAGTAGCTTTTGTAGGTGCGTGTTCGAACAAAATTGAACAAATTTTCTGAATTCAAGGACCAACTAAATGAGACTGAACACAATTAAATTTAAATTCAACAGTGCTACAGAGTTTTAATAAAAGGATGGAATTAAATTGGTTTGAGAAATTTGAAATGAAAAAATCTAAAATTAAACATGGAAATAAATGCATAAATAATATAACAGGTTTGTCTCCTATTTTAAACATGTACCTAAATAATGTGTCTCTCGGATTGGGGCCAAATTTTTTTTTGGTGATTCTACACTCCAAATTATCGGACAAGTATACGCCACTTTTTGATAATAGACCCTGGTTTCGCCAAAAATTTTTGATAGTTACAATTTTCCGTTTTTAATATTTTTATTTCGCCGTTCTAATTGTTCAAAACAACTATCTGAATGTATCATTTTAGAGAATTTTTCTGTAGATTGCAATAAACATATAGCAAAAGCTATCAAAGTTTATTAATAACTAAAAAAATTCTAAAAACCGACTATTTTTCGAGTAAACTATGTAACAGCTTTTTTTCTCGTGAAACTAGTACTTGTCGCTTAAGTTGGTTGCAAATGAGTTCGATTGGGTACTAAACTGGACTTCGAGCTCGTTGACCCCAAGAGATAAAGTGCCCTGTACAATCGCGATTATATAAACACACAAAAAAAAATTTTTAAAAATAGAACAACAGTTAAAGCTGCAGGGGTCATACTTTTGAGGGCATGTCTGCCATTTTTTTTCGCAATAGCGAAGGTTATATCAACCCTCGGGGTGCCGGTGGTTTTGAAAAAAGCCCAATTGAAAGTACGTCGGGTTCGAATGCAGGGCCGCTGGATTCGAACCCGGGACCTTTACCTTACAGTGATGAGCGCCGTGTCAACGCCTAAACCGTTACGGCCACCGACGCCCTATCTGCCATTATTATTAATTTAAATCGTGCAATTTAACAGTTTGATCAAAATCCAATAAGACTTGTAGAACCTAAGTAAGCAATTTAGAGAAGCCGAATTTCTTTTCTATCGGTCGTCCGAGAGGCTTCTGCGCGTCAAGAGCATGATTCGTAGATGCCCCCCCCCCGGGAACCTGAGCCGGAAACAAGGAATCGTCATTACGCGATTAAGAATAGGCCATACACGGTTGACACACGGGCACCTGCTCTTGGGCCAAAGCCCGCGCAGGTGCCCCCTATGCAGAGAAAGGTTGCTCGATGTGTCCCACATACTGGAAACATGCCATGCCTTGGCTCCCTACAGGGAGCGTGTAGGCGGCCATCCAATCTTAAGATGGTACTCGAGCACTGCAGCGAGTTTCAGGGTCCCCTGTTCCGCTTTTTAGGGGAAATTGGGTTTTTTTATTGTATACAATATGTCTTATGTGTTGTGTGTCTATATGTTTTGTCTGAGTGCATGTATTTATTAGCGTGAATGGCGAGGGTTAAATATAACACCATCATCGCCCCTCGAACGTTGAGAGCGTATGAGTGTGTGTTCGGGGTCGATGGCGGAATATTTATACAAGTACTTCATCGACCCCAATCTTGATTAGTTTGAGTATAGGTCGGTGGAGGAATGTCAAGTACTGCACCGACCAAACGGAATGAGTGTATTGTATGGATGTATTTATGTGTATGAATGTAGTGTTTGAAAGTGTAAATAGAATATTTACTTAGTTGGGGCTGAAATGACCTAGATGTCGGAAGCCCCAGTTTAAAAAAAAAAAAAA